TACAGGTAGCATATTGTTATAAACTATAACGGCAAACGTGAACGATTAAGAAGAAAATATTTATATATGTTTTATTTATTTATATTATTTATTAAGACTTTTTTAAATATGTGATAGTCTAATATCTAATAACTTTCATTTCTCTCTAATTACTTATTACTCACTAATTGCGATTTTTTTCTAATTATTATTGGCTTTCTACAATAAGCTACTACTTAAGACTTGGCGATGCTGGAATGACAACCTTGATCGATAGTACAAACTTTTTTAATGTCAAATTAAAAATGTTGATAATAGACATCTTTAATTCATTTCTTACATTATTGTTTTGACTCATTCAAACGCATACATCTGTTCTTGTCTAACATACTGCACGCCATCTCGTGCAAGATCGAGAATCTACTGTACACAATACTAAACACAACAGAGAACAGAGAATAAGAATTTCAATCTAAAATCAGAACCTGTATATTCCACAATACATGATTTCTGATAGGTTGAAATTCTTATTCTCTGTTATCTGTTCCCTTTTATTATGTGGAACCCTTACCATTTCGAATCTTCATTAAGTACGAGTATATGTATACGTAATTTGCAGATTAATACAAATCTTCTTTTTAAGAGTTTAGTCTTACTTTCGTAAAGTATTATTTGTATATAAAGTCCACTGCACCACCTTCTAATTTTGAGTCTATGTACTTTAAACTTGTAAAAAGATTTTTTATTCCTTTCAGTCAATTCGGAGATTTTTTATACGACTGTAGTGTCTCAATAATTTGGCCACTACAGTATTCCTGAGTCTTAAGGAATTAACCAATCACAGATGAATTATTCAACTGTGATTGGTCAATTTCTTACGACTTAAGACTTAAAACTTAGGTAACGATTTATTGTTGAAAGTCAATTATAGATATAGGTTACGGATGAAAGATGGTTTGGATATTGAAGTTGGCTTTTATTCAACACATTATAGTCAACAGTTCGTAAAATGATAAAATTTGCATGAATTGAATTTCAGAAATGCGAATAGATTATTATAGATTGTTTTATTCTTTGTTACTTTTGAAAGTCGTCTTTATATATTTTAATAGATGAATTTAATATGACAGTTAATTTGAAAAGTATGTGATCAAAATTGAATGCTCGTGACGTGAAACTCGTAACTTAAGTTTCCGAACGATTTAAGAAATCAAGTTTTCTCTAAAGAACATGATTCTAATCAAAGAATTTGCAAATAAAAAGCTGGTAAGATTTTTGTATAAATTTATAACTATCTACCTTTCTTATTCCAGAATTAAGTATCGCGTTAATTTTGTTGCAAATGATACGTTTTTTTCTAGAATTGTCCCGACAAATATTTTATCGGTTAATAATTGTGACAAAATTATCGGATGTCTAATTAATCACAAACTTCACCTTCCGCGAATGGGTAGGAATTGCATTCATTTCTTTCTCCCTCTCGCTCGTTCGCATCGCATAAACGCGCGGTCGTTCTCGTCTGCAATCGATTTCTATCACAAGGGTGAGCTTTAGAGTTGCGAGGAAAAATATTTACGCGGCGTAACCGGGATATTGTCGTCGGTAAACTGAGCGCCTCCCACTCGCGCTCTCTTGATAGAATCAACCTCGTAGAACAATATGTCCTTTATAATCGAATCAACACGTCTCTTATGTCGTCTAAGGCGATCGATACATTGCAATTTAAGCTTTGCTCGCAGAGAAAATTTTCAATTATTTTTGCCGAGATGTCGCTTTAACATAGACTTATCCATAGGTATGTAAATCTTACCTCTATCGATATTAATTATTAATATCATTTTTTATTAAATATTTCCTCTCGGGCTTAATTAATTTAGATAACACAATGATCTACTAAATTTACTCGATGTTATGCTTTCATTGTTGCTGGAACAAAATTTTTTTTGTCGACGATACGTATGCGTATCGACACCCACGCATCCATACACCCTGGCGTATTTTTTTTTCGAATGGAACACCCTGTATTTATTCCAGGGAACACAGGGGTGTACGACCTAGTTACGCTTGGGCGTGTTATATGGGTCATAGACACCATTCGCACTCGGTTGCACGTGCGCGCGCACACACTCACGCGTGCTGACTGTGCACTGGTTCACGCGAGCAGTCGATTCACGAATGTGGGGCAAGAAGGTTTTCTAACACTGCTTTCACCGTTTTTCGTGATTAATCATTGAGCGTTTGCTTTGAGATACCGCCATGAAGGATGGTCCTTTCTCGACTGGCAACATTAAAAAATGAAGATTCTCGAAGACCAATATTTACATTCGGTTCTTAAGACCGTGTTAAATAATAGGGAGTTTTCGCAATAACGTGACTCCAGATACGGTGAACGCTAAAATCATGTTATCCTTTTCTTAAGTAGTTGTTGAGAAGAAAATAATCTCAGCGTTCACTGTATTTGGATAAACGGTATTGCAGAAACTCCCTAATGTCTTAAAACTAATACGGCTCTCTGATCGATTTATGACATCTTAAGACTGTTCTTAAGATAGTCTTAAATACAAGAATCGGCTATGAATAGCGGTCGAAAATGGGTTCCAGTTTTTTTTTCGCAGTTAAATACAAAATTTGTATGCAGATTGACGCTTGTCATGTTTACGGATGAAATACAGAATCTATTTTAATCTCGCCTGTTGCGACTGTAATGGAAGAAGGAGGGGAAGGGGAGAGAGAGAGAGAGAGAGAGAGAGAGAGAAGGGGATGAGGTAAAAAGGAAGAAAGAGAAAGAAACCAGCGATAGTGACGTTCGTTTCGCAGCAAAGCGGAGAATTTATCGATAGTCGACGATTACCGTAGGGCATGTGACAGGGCTTTAGCTCGAATGCTCGTCGATGGTCTGAACTTAAAACAAACACATACTTCCATTGTAAACTACATTGCCCCCAGGCATGATACCTTTAACATTTATCGGAAAGGTTTTAGCTGATCGTAAAAAAAAAAGAAATAGTTACTGCGCATGATAAATCCGATTTATTGGGTGGGACTCGATTCGCCACGCGCTCGTCTTTACCTAAAACCATTGTTGAAACAATTAACATCATCGGAGAAAAAGCTCCATTCGTGCTTGTTTCATGCACGCGTATATACGTTATCTTGAAGACAGTCGAAATTCTCATTCTTTCCACGCAGTAAATACATTCGTGTAATAAATGGTTATAATGTCTGCAAAGTAGATATTTATATTTTGTCCAAACAGTTCCCAGGATTGAACCTTCGACCCGGGTTTCTCCTGAAAACCAGCGGTTTTACAGTGTACATCAGATACACATGAACACGCGCACGCGTGTACTCGACCAATATATATAAAGGTGGAAGGATATATATATATATATATATATATATATATAT